GGTGGTGGTGGTGACGATGCTGATGGTGGTGGTGGTGGTGACAATGGTGATGGTGGTGGTGGTGGTGGTGACGATGCTGATTGTGGTGGTGGTGGTGGTGGTGACGATGCTGATGGTGGTGGTGGTGACGATGCTGATGGTGGTGGTGGTGGTGGTGACGATGCTGATGGTGGTGGTGGGGGTGATTATGGAGGGTCGTGATGGTCGTGCCGACGATCCAACTTCCGGCAACAGCCCCGAGCTCCCGCTAAGGGCCCCCTTTCATACCCCCGGCGTGGCCCCGCCCCGCCCCCGGCCACGCCCCCTTTCTGGAACTTTCCGGCGGGTTCCCGGGGGCTTCCCAGCGGCCCCCTCCTGTGACCTTTGACCTTGGCTTCCCGTTCTCGCGTCGATCGTGGCCTGCTGCCGCGGGCACTGCCGTACAACCGCAGCTACCCCTTGTCGTGACCAAGTGTCGTCGCGTCTACGTGACAGATCCCTGGCTAATTGGCCTGTGTCGGGTGGTGGAGGGTAGCGACGCAATAATCTCAGCTTACGCGATCCAACCCAGAAAACCAATTCTCACGAGCGGCAAAAAAAGAAGATCGTTTAGTGCCGGTGATTTCGATTGAAAGCCGTTCGAGACCGCAGTGATTCACAAGTCCTTGGCCCATTTCGGTAAAGTCACGTAGAAGGGAAATAATAAAATAAAATAAAAAATAAAATAATAACAAAAAATGACACGTATTGAGATGAAATTCTCACGACGTTTCGGCCACAGCGCAAGCAGCCATCCTCAGGTGAGGAAACAGAGGCTTTCGGAACGTCAGCGCTCCTAACGGGAAAGACAGCGTCCCGAAACGTTCGTGAGAATTTCATCTGACGACGTTTTATTATTTTTTGTTAAAAAATTATTTTGTCATTTCCCTTCTACGTGACTTTATCGAAAGAACCAGGCGCAAACTCTTTGGTTGTATTGAGTAAAGTCACCACGTAGGTGAAAAAATCAAATAACAAAAAATCACGACGTTTCGGCCACAACACAAGCGGCCTTCATCAGGCGAAGGGACGAGACTGTCTGGTAGGACAGCGCTGGAGTGGAAGAAGCCACGCTTAGATCGCGACCTTTAAGCTGTGTGAGAAGAAAAAGACCACGCGCCTTGACAAAGGAATTAGCTATATAATTTACCATTGAAATGGCTCATTGAAATAGCTAAGTTAAAGTATACACATCCGCAGAGGCACCCCTTGACAAAGGAATTAGCATAGAATTTAGCATTGAAATGGCTCATTGAAATAGCTAAGTTAAAGTATACACATCCACAGAGGCACGCCTTGACAAAGGAATTAGCATAGAATTTAGCAATGAAATGGCTCAATGAAATAGCTAAGTTAAAGTATACACATCCGCAGAGGCACCCCTTGACAAAGGAATTAGCATAGAATTTAGCATTGAAATGGCTCATTGAAATAGCTAAGTTAAAGTATACACATCCGCAGAGGCACCCCTTGACAAAGGAATTAGCATAGAATTTAGCATTGAAATAGCTGAGTGATTAGCTTGTAACTGGTTACAGAAATAGCTATGTTAAAGTTAGAGCATATACATTCACCGAGGCACCTAGTACTCATCAGTTACAAGCTAATCACTCAGCCATTTCAATGCTAAATTCGATGCTGATTCCTTTGTCAAGGGGTGCCTCTGCGGACGTGTATACTTTAACTTAGCTATTTCAATGAGCCATTTCAATGCTAAATTATATGCTAATTCCTTTGTCAAGGGGTGCCTCTGCGGATGTGTATGCTTTAACTTAGCTATTTCAATGAGCCATTTCAATGCTAAATTATATGCTAATTCCTTTGTCAAGGGGTGCCTCTGCGGATGTGTATGCTTTAACTTAGCTATTTCAATGAGCCATTTCAATGCTAAATTATATGATAATTCCTTTGTCAAGGCGCTTTGTTTCTTCTCACACAGCTTAAAGGTCGCGATCTAAGCGTGGCTTTTTCTCACTCCAGCGCTGTCCTCCAGACAGCCTGGTCCCTTCAACCTGATGAAGGCCGCTTGTGTTGTGGCCGAAACGTCGTGATTTTTGTCATTTTATTTTTTTTCACCTACGTGGTGACTTTACCCAACGGAACCAAAGAGTATGGATCCTAGCAGTCACGAAAGCTTCAAATCTAGAACCAAGCCCAACTTCTTTGGTTCTTTCGGTAAAGTCACCACCACGTAGAATGAGAATAAAATAATAAATTGATAAAATAAAATAACACGATAATATTCTCACGACGTTTCGGCCACAACACAAGCGGCCTTCATCAGGCGAAGGGACGAGACTGTCTGGTAGGACAGCGCTGGAGTGAAAGAGCCACGTTCAGATCACGGCTTTTAAGCTGTGTGAGAGTAACGAAAGCTTCAAATCTAGAACCAAGCCCAAGTTTCAGTGATGTGACGTGAGGGGGGGGGGGGGGGGGGGGGGTGGGAGCGCCCCGTTCAATCATTCCTTCCCTTCGCGTTCAGGTGACGTACAGGACCGCGATGGACGTGTGGATGGACGCGTGCCTCATCTTCCTCATCGCTGTGCTGGTGGAGTACGCATTGGTCCAGGCAACGGCGCGCAGGTTCAGGGACCCCAAAGTCATCAAGAACAGCGAGGTGACGTCCGGGTGGTGGTGGGGGGGGGGGGGGGTAGTGGGGGGGGCTGGTGGGGGGGGGGTGGTGGTGGGTGGGGTGGGTGGGGGGCGATGGTGGGCCCTTGGCACTCAATGCTGGCCCTCTGCCCACCCCTATGAAGAACGCTCCCTTCACCCGGTTCAGTATCCGGGTCGGTGTTTAATGTAGTGTGTAGTGTATAGTGTAGTGTGTGGTGCAGTGTAGTGTATGGTGTAGTTTGTAGTGTAGTGTATGGTGTAGTGTATGGTGTAGTGTGTAGTGTAGTGTATAGTGTAGTGTATGGTGTAGTGTGTAGTGTAGTGTATGGTGTAGTGTATAGTGTAGTGTATAGTATAGTGTATAGTAGTGTAGTAGTGTATAGTGTAGTGTATAGTGTAGTGTGTAGTGTAGTGTATAGTGTAGTGTATAGTGTAGTGTATTGTGCAGTGCATAGTGTAGTGTGTAGTGCATAGTGTAGTGTATAGTGTAGTGTAGTGTGTAGTGTATAGTGTAGTGTATAGTGTAGTGTATGGTGTAGTGTATAGTGTAGTGTATAGTGTAGTGTATAGTGTAGTGTGTAGTGTGTAGTGTAGTGTATAGTGTGTAGTGTAGTGTATAGTGTAGTGTATAGTGTAGTGTATAGTGTAGTTTGTAGTGTATAGTGTAGTGTGTAGTGTAGTGTGTAGTGTATAGTGTAGTGTATAGTGTAGTGTATAGTGTAGTGTAGTGTATAATGTAGTGTATAGTGTAGTGTATAGTGTAGTAGTGAAGTCTATAGTGCAGTGTATATTAGTATATTGTATAATGTAGTGTAGTGTATAGTGTAGTCTATAGTGTAGTGTATAATGTAGTGTAGTAGTGTAGTGTATAGTGTAGTATGCAGTGTAGTATATAGTGTAGTGTATAGTGTAGTGTAGAGTGTAGTGTATAGTTTAGTATGCAGTGTAGTATATAGTGTAGTGTATCGTGTATAGTAGTGTATAGTGTAGTATATAGTGTAGTGTATAATGTAGTGTATAGTAGTGTAGTAGTGTAGTGTATAGTGTAGTGTATAGTAGTGTATAGTGTAGTGTATAGTGTAGAAGTCGAGTGTATAGTTTAGTGTATAGTAGTGTATAGTGTAGTATGCAGTGTAGTATATAGTGTAGTGTATAGTATAGCGTATAGTGTAGTGTATAGTGTAAAGTGTAGTGTATAGTGTAGTATATAGTGTAGTGTATAGTGTAGTGCATAGTAGTGTTTAATGTAGTGTATAGTGTAATGTGTAGTGTATAGTGTAGTGTATAGTGTAGTGTACAGTGTAGTGTATAGTGTAAAGTGTAGTGTATAGCGTAGTGTAGTGTATAGTGTAGTATATAGTGTAGTGTATAGCGTAGCGTAGTGTATAGTGTAGTGTATAGTGTAGTGTATAGTGTAGTGTATTGTAGTGTATAATGTAGTGTATAGTGCAAAGTGTAGTGTATAGTGTAGTGTAGTGTATAGTGTAGTGTACAGTGTATTGTATAGTGTAGTGTAAAGTGTAGTGTATAATGTAGTGTGTAGTGTAGTATATAGTGTAGTGTATAGCGTAGCGTAGTGTATAGTGTAGTGTATAGTGTAGTGTATAGTGTAGTGTATAGTGTAGTGTATTGTGTATTGTAAAATGTAGTGTATAGTGTAGTGTAGTATGCAGTGTCGTATATAGTGTAGTGTATAGCGTAGCGTAGTGTATAGTGTAGTGTATAGTGTAGTGTATAGTGTAGTCTATAGTGTAGTGTATGGTGTAGTGTATAGTAGTGTACAGTGTAGTGTATAGTGTAGTGTAAAGTGTAGTGTAAAGTGTAGTGTATAGTGTAGTGTAGTATGCAGTGTAGCATATAGTGTAGTGCATAGCGCAGCGTAGTGTATAGTGTAGTGTAGAGTGTAGTGTATAGTGTAGTGTATAGTGTAGTGTATAGTAGTGGATAGTGTAGTATATAGTGTAGCGTATAGTGTAGTGTATAGTAGTGGATAGTGTAGTATATAGTGTAGTGTATAGTAGTGTAGTGTATAGTAGTGTAGTGTATAGTGTAGTGTATAGTGTAGTGTAGTATGCAGTGTCGTATATAGTGTAGTGTATAGCGTAGTGTAGTGTATAGTGTAGTGTATAGTGTAGTGTAGAGTGTAGTGTATAGTGTAGTGTATAGTGTAGTGTGTAGTGTAGTGTATAGTAGTGGATAGTGTAGTATATAGTGTAGTGTATAGTAGTGTAGTGTATAGTGTAGTGTAGTATGCAGTGTAGCATATAGTGTAGTGCCTAGCGCAGCGTAGTGGTACAGCACACCGGCTGTGTGTTGGAGACCCGAGTCGCAGCGTTTGCACTCCGAGTACGACGCTCCGCCCGCAACCACAACCGGCTTCACCGGTGCGACAGCCGGATTTGTATCCCATTGGCGTCGATAAAGCCTGGCTATCTCTCGCAACACGGCAACTCCCCCGTGACCTCCTCCTTCACTGCGGTTCGAAGCGGAGACCCCGGCAGGCTACGAGGCGCCTCCCTGCCCCGCCGCAAGATGCCCGCTCCGGCACGGGGGGGGCATTGTTATTCACGTAGTTCGGGGGTGTCACCAAGCCACGGCCCCGTGAAGTCAGTCCAACAGGCACCCTCCGACGGTACTTTGAGTTCGGTTGATGAGACGTTGCGATGCGATTCAAATTTAAATATTTACGTTTGGAATGCCGGGGGGATCTTCACGCGTGCGGAGGCCTCCTGACCGCTATGTTCCTTAAATTTACCATTTTAAAATCGTAAATTGTTGCGTCTGGATATCGTAATGTTTTGCTTATTTCGCGCCACCCCAAGGACTTCCCCGGCTCGTGGTAGCTCCGCCCACGCCATGACGTTGCCACGGTCTCCATGGCAACGTCATGGCGACACGTTACCGTGGTTTCAATGGCGACACACACACAAAAAAAAACACCACATCTTTCCCGCCCCCCAAGATTTTCCAGCTGTCAACGCAGATCCGACGCTCCTAAAAATATTCATTTAATTTTTTTTTATCATGCGGCACTTGCGGCTCGTCATTCTATTCAGTTATCCAGGCCCGCTGTTACAAAAAAGTTTGGTGACCCCCTGATGTAGTTTATTGTTTAAAAAAAAAAATTCGATCACAGTCCTCACCCCCCGTGATCACTGTTACGTTGAAATTCTGGCTTTAGGTTTCTTTTTTGGTGATTTCGAAAACGTTTTTTTTGTTTTTGGTTCGGACACGTTTAATTTTTTTGCGGTACGGAGTTCGACTGATGGCCTTGATCTAAAGTTGTCTTTTGGTTGTTGTTGTTGTAGTTGTTGTTGTTGTGGTTGTTGTTGTTTGACTTTGCAATCCCGCTGGGATTTTTGGTGTGACGGTGATTTTTTTTTCCGGAATATTTTTTGCCGTTTTAATTTTTTCTTCCCCATGGATTTTCTGTTTGCGCACAGTCACACAGTCACACAGTCACACAGTCACACACGCACACGCACGCACACGTAGTCGCTTTAAGATCTTTTTTGTTCTCGTTCGTGTTTTTAGTTTTATGTTTGTCGTGGTCGCACACGATTCAAGAGCCGGATGGCTCGCACAGGGCCATGGCAAAATAAATAAACTGAAAACTGAAATCTGAAATCTGAACATGCGGTGTTTTACCCCGGTAGCGCGAGGCCCCGGTAGGATCGGGCCGTGCTCCATTAGTGGCGCAGCCCTTTGATTTTAAAGCCCCCCGCAAGCATCGATTTCAAGCGCCTCGTAGATATGCCTGCGCACGTGGTGTACATTCAAGAGCCATCGGGTTCCGCTCTTTAATTTTTCCGTCAAAGATATCTCGGATTCAAGCGGTTTTTTGAACGGGTGAAAAACAAATATCCGCATTGCTTGAGGTTCAAGTCTGACTGATTCGAAAACGGTAGCGGATAGGAGAGCTTCCCCCCTAGTAGGCTACTAAGTTGATTAGATGTTTGCTTCTTTCGAATTAAAACAAAAAAAGAGAACGGAATCTTTAAACTGAGCGGTTTCCGATGGGAGCAACGTCTTCAAATTATAAGAAGTTGAATCAAGTCGTCAACTAATTTTTTTTTTGGGGGGTGGTGGCGGGGAAAAATTACACGTTTTTGGAACAAACAAAAATTCGATCCATTGAAAACGTTTGCCGGGCGAAGACAGCCTTTAATGAATGATCCGGTGACCAAAGTGAACACCACGGCCAGCATCACAAATAATAATAATAATTAAAAAAAAATAAAGGACAACGATGGGAGGCCCCCTTCGCCCGATAGAAACGAGAGAGGCGAAAGCGACCGTGAGTTTAGAACGAACACAAAATCACACGCCGGTAAAAATTTGAAATTTTCCACGATTTATCTCTCCGACAAAACCGTGACCATCCTTCCCCCCCCTCCGCTCCTCCTGCTCCTGCTGACCCCATCCCCCGTGGCCGCAGGAGTCTATGTCCGACCTTGAGGAGCGCTACCTACGGCAGGCGGTGATGGTGGATGTGAAGGCGCGCTTCGTGTTCCCCGTGGCCTTCCTCGCCTTCAACGCCGTCTACTGGGTCACCTGCGTCGTGGGCCTCAAGAGCCTGCAGTGAAGACACCGCCGCAGAGACACCGCAGAGACACCGCAGAGACACCGCAGAGACACCACAGAGACACCACAGAGACACCGTGTCCACCACAGAGACATCACAACTACAGAGACACCGCACTGATAACACCGTCAACTGGGTCACCTGCGTCGTGGGCCTCAAGAACCTGCAGTGAAGACACCACTACAGAGACACCACAGAGACACCGTGTCCACCACAGAGACACCACCACCACCACAGAGACACTACAGAGACACCGTGTCCACCACAGAGACACCACAGAGACACCGCAGAGACACCACAGAGACACCACAGAGACACCGTGTCCACCACAGAGACATCACAACTACAGAGACACCGTGTCCACCACAGAGACATCACAACTACAGAGACACCGTGTCCACCACAGAGACATCGCAACTACAGAGACACCGCACTGATAACGCCGTCTACTGGGTCACCTGCGTGGTGGGTGGGCCTCAAGAACCTGCAGTGAAGACTCAGCAGAGGCCACAGCAGAGACACCACAGAGACACCACAGAGACACCGTGTCCACCACAGAGACATCACAACTACAGAGACACCGTGTCCACCACAGAGACACCACAACTACAGAGACACTGCCACCACCACTACAGAGACATCACAACTATAGAGACACCGTGACCACCACTACAGAGACACCACAACCACAGAGACACCGCACTGATAACCACAGAGACACCGTGACCACCACTACAGAGACACCACAACCACAGAGACATCACCACCACAGAGACACCACAGAGACACCGTGTCCACCACAGAGATACCGCCACCACAGAGACACCACAACCAAAGAGACACATGTACACCACTACAGAGACACTGCACTGATAACCACAGAGACATCACAACTACAGAGAAACCACAGAGACACTGCCACCACAGAGACACCGCCACCACAACTACAGAGACACGGTGACTACAACTACAGAGACACCGCACTGATAACCACAGAGACACCACAAGCACAACACACAGACACCACAGAGCACAACACACAGACACCACAAGCACAACACACAGACACCACATCCTACACAACACACAGAGACCACATCCTACACAACACATAGATACCACAACACACAGACACCACGTGCACAACACAAGACACCACATCCTACACAACACAAAGACACCACATCCTACACAACACACAGACACCACATCCTACACAACACACAGACACCACATCCTACACAACACACAGACACCACATCCTACACAACACACAGACACCACGTGCACAACACACAAACACCACATCCTACACAACACAAAGACACCACGTGCACAACACACAGACACCACATCCTACACAACACACAGACACCACATCCTACACAACACACAGACACCACAACACAACACACAGACACCACGTGCACAACACACCGATGTGACTGACCCAATGCATCACGCGGGCTCGTCGATGTACCGACTCTTCTTGCGTACCAGGCGAGGTAGTCAACATCTCTCAGTATCTGTGATTGAACCCACGACCTCCTGCGAACCAGGCGAGGTAGTCAACATCTACTCAGTGTCTGGGATTGAACCCACGACCTCCTGTGTACCAGGCGAGGTAGTCAACATCTCTCAGTGTCTGGGATTGAACCCACGACCTCCTGTGTACGAGGCGAGGTAGTCAACATCTCTGTGTCTGGGATTGAACCCACGATCTCCTGCGCACCAGGCGAGGTAGTCAACATCTCTCAGTGTCTGGGATTGAACCCACGACCTCCTGTGTACCAGGTGAGGTAGTCAACATCTCTCAGTGTCTGGGATTGAACCCACGACCTCCTGCGTACCAGACGAGGTAGTCAATATCTCTCAGTGTCTGGGATTGAACCACGACCTCCTGTGTACCAGGCGAGGTAGTCAACATCTCTCAGTGTCTGGGATTGAACCCACGACCTCCTGTGCACCAGGCGAGGTAGTCAACATCTCTCAGTGTCTGGGATTGAACCCACGACCTCCTGCGTACCAGGCGAGGTAGTCAACATCTCGCAGTGTCTGGGATTGAACCCACGACCTCCTGCGCACCAGGCGAGGTAGTCAACATCTCTCAGTGTCTGGGATTGAACCCACGACCTCCTGCGTACCAGGCGAGGTAGTCAACATCTCTCAGTGTCTGGGATTGAACCCACGACCTCCTGTGTACCAGGCGAGGTAGTCAACGTCTCTCAGTGTCTGGGATTGAACCCACGACCTCCTGCGTACCAGGCGAGGTAGTCAACATCTCTCAGTGTCTGGGATTGAACTCACGACCTCCTGCGCACCAGGCGAGGTAGTCAACATCTCTCAGTGTCTGGGATTGAACCCACGACCTCCTGCGTACCAGGCGAGGTAGTCAACATCTCTCAGTGTCTGGGATTGAACCCACGACCTCCTGTGTACCAGGCGAGGTAGTCAACATCTCTCAGTGTCTGTGATTGAACCCACGACCTCCTGCGTACCAGGCGAGGTAGTCAACATCTCTCAGTGTCTTGGATCGAAGCCACGACCTCCTGCGTACCAGGCGAGGTAGTCAACATCTCTCAGTGTCTGTGATTGAACCCACGACCTCCTGCGTACCAGGCGAAGTAGTCAACATCTCTCAGTGTCTCGGATTGAACCCACGACCTCCAAGGTACCAGGTGAGGTAGTCAACATCTCTCAGTGTCTGGGATTGAACCCACGACCTCCTGCGCACCAGGCGAGGTAGTCAACATCTCTCAGTGTCTGGGATTGAACCCACGACCTCCTGCGTACCAGGCGAGGTAGTCAACATCTCTCAGTGTCTGGGTTTGAACCCACGACCTCCTGCGCACCAGGCGAGGTAGTCAACATCTCTCAGTGTCTGGGATTGAACCCACGACCTCCTGTGTACCAGGCGAGGTAGTCAACATCTCTCAATGTCTGGGATTGAACCCACGACCTCCTGCGTACCAGGCGAGGTAGTCAACGTCTCCTAGTCCACCTGTGGTGCCCGTTCACGCACAGGACCAGCAGACATCCGCTCACAGGGGTCACGCTGTTGGATCGTTGTGCCGGGATGGTTTTCCGATTGCAATGCGGGAGGTCGCGTTCCGCACCGCGGTTGTTTTTCTCCGCTTTCCACTTCAACGGCATCATCAACAACATCATCAATGTCATCGTCGTCATCATCATCCTGAGCGACGTCATCGTCGAGTGCAGCCGCTGTGAGACGGTTATACAACGAAGGTCACCCCGATCTAGCGTCATGAGGCTGTTTGTTGTGTACGTGTGTGAGTGTTTGCGTGTGTGTGTGTGTGTATGTGTGTACGTGTATGTATGTTTGGGGAGCGGTAGCGTAGCGGTTAGCGCTACGCTGGCGCTATGAACCTGGCGACCCGGGTTCGATTCCCGCTCACGGCCAACACCAGTGACGATTATGTGAACCGGTCCCGGGCCTCCCCTAGGTCGACTCAGCCTAAAATGAGTACCTGGTGCGCTGTGTAAACATCGCCACTGGGGAGACAAAGGCGGTCGGGCGTGGTGCTGGCCACCCACCCCCTCGTGTACCGTTCCGGCCTTCATAGGTGCTCGCTAACAGCACTTTCCCCTACAGTCTGTTAAGGCTATATGGGGGATCTTTGTGTGTATGTGTGTACGTGTATGTATGTATGTGTGTTTGTGTGTGTGGCTGGCTGGCTGAAGTGCCATCTGTTGGGGAAGTACTGACGGCCAGGAAAGGCACTGGGCAAGCGAAATGCTGAGGGAGGGTGGCGTTTGTGCACAGACTGCCCGACATTGCATCATCACAACAGTCTGGACGACTGAACGGCTTCTGTAGGATTGGAAGGATGCCCTGATGGTCCCCCCTGTAACAACTACAGGGGCATCTCACTCTTCAGTGTGCCGGGAAAGGTCCTGGCAAGGATTATACAACATCGCCTTGCCAGGCACGCTGAGGAGAGGCTTGCGGAGCCCCAATGCGGTTTCAGGAAAGGGCGGTCCTGCACAGATGCCATATTATCTGTCCGTCTGTTACCACAGATGTGTAGGGAATTTCAACAAGACCTACATCTCTACTTTATTGACCTGGTAAAGGCCGATGATACCATCAGTAGGCCTGGGCTCTGGGTTGTTCTTCGTGATTTTGGAGTCCCTGACCCCCTGCTCACGATCATTAAGGACCTTCATGATGGTGAATGGGCCCGGGTAAAACTACTTGGCCGGGAGTCAGAGCCATTCCCTGTACACCTTGGGGTGCGACAGGGATGTCCTCTGGCTCCCACAATATTTAACATCTATTTTGACCACGTAGTTCGTGAAGCCTTCAATAGCTGTACCGGGGGAATCTCCATTTGGTACAGATATAATGGGAGGCTGATTGATGCCCGGGTGCGGTCAAGGAATGGCTCCCTATTGGTCAACCACGTTATGTATGCCGATGATTTGGTAATTGCTGCTCATTCAGAGGACGAGTTGGAGACGCTGCTGCTGAAACTGGAGCGTGCCACTAAGAGGTGGGGCCTTCCCATCAGCCCCACCAAAACTAAGCACCAATCGGTGATGGGGCAGTTGTGGAGAGAGTGGAGAGTTTCCCATACCTGGGCAGTGTGCTCATGACCGGCTCCGGTTTAACAGCAGAGGTCTCACTCCGAATCAGTCGAGCGGCAATATATTTTCATCGGTTGTGTAATGCTGTGTTGAAGCTACCTGGTCTGTCGCCCCGCACAAAGCTTCAGGTCTTCTCGGCCATTCCCTCCCTTCTCTATGCTTGCGAAACGTGGACCCCTAATGGAGCAACTTTGCCGGTTAGAAACATTTAGGCTGCCCTGCCTACGATCCATCCTGGGTTTAACCAGGCTGGATTGTGTGAGGAGCTCACAAATCCTTGTACGATCTGGGCAAGTTCCCATCGGTGAGCTCCTCCGGCAGGCACGGCTGCGTTGGCTGGGTAATGTAGCCCGCATGCCCAGCCACCGCATGCCGAAACAGCTTTTGTTTGGCCGGATCGAGGAGGCTAAACGGGCGCGGCACGGGCTAGAGAAGAGATGGAGTGATGTGGTACAGGAGGACGTGGAGCTGAGTGGACTTGCCGATGACCGGTACCAGCGGTGTCAAGATCGGCCTCTGTGGAGGAGGCTCGTGAAGGACGCTACTGGGCAGTTGGAGGCAGTCGCCCTCCAACAACAACGGAGGGCGGAGGAGCGACGCTCACAACAACGAGCGGAGCGCCGGGTGGCTAAAGCACAGCAGGTTGGCACAGTAGGGGGCACAGGTGGTGCATCGG